GGGGAGAGGGGCTGGCAGCGTGGAAGGAAGGCGCCGAGAGGGGAGGTGGGTCCAGGAAGAGGAAACTCCTGACTTCTCCACTTGATCCTGGGAGGCCCACTATGACCTGAGGGTGCATCCCCCCCTCCACCATCCCCAGAGTGGAAGGGTCAGAGCCGAGAGGAGGCTCTGGCAGCCCCTCAGCTGGCCCTGCTCCTTGTACCAGGAGAATGTTGTCAGCTGCAGGAGGTTGACTCCAGTTGAAGCAAGAGCCCCAGAGGCTCCTAGCCGAGGCGTGAGAGAAGTGGAGCCAGCTGTCAGCTTGAGCCTGGGGAGGGTCCAGCCTTGCGTGAGACCCTGACCTCTGGGTAAGGTCTGCTCCACTGTCATTCTGCTCCAAAATAGAAATGTCCCTTGTATAAAGGGTAATACAAAAACACAACAAAATTCCCGTATGTGACTGCCTGAAATTCTACCATGAGTTATATATTATTTTGGGTCAAGCATTGCCCCTCTGTGCTAGGCTGAATGTTCACATCCTAATCCCTGGAATTGTTACCTTACATGGTAAAAGGGACTTTGCAGATGTGATGAGGGATGTTGAGATGGGAGATTATTCTGGATTATCCCAGGGTGCCCAACGTAATCACCTTATAGAAGGAGGCAGAAGGGTCAGCTAAATAGCGGGCAATATGCATATTTCCCTGGGAAGGGAACACACCAAGAACTTGAGATTTCAGCCTGAAATAGTTTACGAAACACCCCACCCCACATACCCCACCGGAATCAGGAGGCCTTCTTCTACCTGCTGGCCCTGGGCCTCTGATGGAATATAGCGGGGAAGTAGGAGAGGAGACAGAGTACAGAGGGACCGAGGTGAAAGCAAGAAGCAAGGCAGAACTTGCTTCATTCTGCATCCTTGGGCCAGGCCTTGTTTCACCACCTGGTGCCCTGACTCCACCATCCGGGCTTCGTCTCCATGGGCCATCTTGTATAGACCCTGCCCTCAGGGAGCTGAGTGTATCACCTATTTCAAGGGGGCCACCAAATGCAGCCACCTGACTCTTAGTATTAGCTGTAGATTGTCCTCCTCCTAGGTGGCACTCCCAGAATCCTCTGCTCCAACCACCTTCTTACAGCCTCTGACCAGAGATGGGGAAGAGGTTCTCCCAGATTTTCTGAGTCCAATTGTAAATACTGGAGATTTGTTAACCATAACAATGATGATGAGGAGGATCAGAATAAAGGTAGTGTTGACTATAGAACAAGGCAGGGTATAAATATGTATAAATAAGTAAATAGCTACTAGACACCATGCCACAGCTTTCTGTGCACCATCCTGTTCAATCAACCCAGTTGGGAAGTTTCAGTATTCATATATTATGGGTAAGGAACTGAGGCACAGAGAGATTATGTGACTTTCAAAAGGTCACACAGCTAGTTCAAGATAGGACTGTAGTTTCAGCTCAGGTCTGACTTCAGAGTCCATGCCTTTAACTACCACACTATTCTACCTGCTAAGAGTATTTTAAACTAAACTGATGTTTTGATGTTTCATTTTTTAATCAAGCAATACTTTTCTAGGGATGGGAAGGTTTGGGGTAGATGGGAGAAGGATGGGAGGAGTGGCATGGGGGCGGGGCATGCGATGTGGGTGAGGGGCCTGTCAACTGGTTGCCACTAATCAAGGGGACTTAATAAAGCGGCAGACTGAGGCCAGATTACCTTAATCAAAACATAAATAGCTTTGGCTTTAACATTTCATCTTAGAAATTGAACTTGAATTTTACTATCTTTTCCAAATGCAGTTTTATTTTTGACCAGCTTTATGACATTTGGCTGATTTTCTCAAATAGTTTTGCATTGTTGCAAGTTATTCAAAGCAAGTTTTAAGACCAAAGAATATTTTTAATGTGATTTCAAGTTGGCAGGCATCGAGGCTTAGTGGACAGCACGCAGGGGCTTGACGGACCTCAGGAGACCAGGGTTAGTCCCAAATCTGCTGTTTAGGCTGATGTAGGCCTGCAGAAGTCCTCACTGTACATTCCAATATGGTGTCTGGGTTGAAGCCGTGAGAAACTTGGAAGACTTTTTTTGGTTTTTTTTTACAGGCTTCAGCTCCAGGTCCAGCCCTGTTTGCTGGGTGGAGCGGGTGAGAAGTTTCGCTTCTGTGGTAATTGCTGCAGACCTTTGCACAGGGCCAGCTGGGAAGGGCAGGGGCACCGTGTCTTGGCTTCTGACTTCTGTTTGCCTGAGTCACAGGCAGCTGGTCCCCTCAATCCCTGGGGTACTCCAGAGGGTAGGCCTAGGGTGACTGGAGACAACTCTGTTTCCAACCTGCCCATGGGGACAGACTGACATAGGACCACAGATTGTCAGAGCAGAAGGCAGCCCCGATTGGCTGGCCCTGAGAGTCACACATACTGGCCATGGGCCTCTTACACTGAATAAGAATCCCCAGAGATATTGGCATAAAAACAGACACATAGATCAATGGAACAGAACAGAGAGCCCAGAAATCAACCCACACATAGATGGTCAATTAATTTATGACAAATGAGCCAAGAATATATAGGGGGAAAGGACAGTCTCTTCAATAAATGGTGTTGGGAAAACTGGACAGCCACATGCAAAAGAATGAAACTTGACCATTATCTCATACCATACACAAAAATTAACAAAATGGATTAAAGACTTGAATGTAAGGCCTGAAGCCATAAAACTCCTAGAAGAAAACAGGCAGTAACCTCCTTGACATAGGTCTTGGCAATGCTATTTTGGATATGATACTGAGAGCAAAAATGAGTATATGGGACCAAATCAAACTAAAAAGTTTCTGCACAGCAAAAGAAACCATCAATAAAATGAAAGGCAACCTAATGAATGAGAGAAAATATTTACAAATCATATATCTGATAAGGGGTTAAAATCCAAAATATATAAAGAGCTCAAATAACTTAATAGCAAAAAGATCTACATAGACATTTTTCCAAAAAAGACATATAGATGCCCATGCCCAAAAGGTACATGAAAAGATGCTCAGCATCATTAATCATCAGGGAAATGAAAATAAAAACCACAGTGAGATTATCACCTCACACTTGTCAGAATGCCTGTTATCAAAAAGACAAGAAATAAGTGTTGGTGAGGCTGTGGAGAAAAGGGAACGCTGGTACACTGTCAGTGGAACTGTAAATTGGTGCAGCCACTATGAAAAACAGTATGAAGGTTCTGTTTAGAAAATTAAAAATAGAGCTACCATATGATCCAGCAATTCTACTTCTGGGTATTTATGCAAAGAAACGAAAACACTAACGCAAAAAGATATACACACCCCCATATTCATTGCAGCATTATTTATGATAGCCAAGATACAGAAACAACCTAAGTGTTCATCAATAGATGGATAAATAAATTATAATCATATATATATATATAGATAGATAGATATATAGATATATATAGATAGATAGAGAGAGAGAGAGAGAGAGAGAGAGAGAGAGAGAGAGAGAGAGGAAT